GGCTCATTCATTTGGCATCTATCCAACTACGATCTATGTTTAATTTGTCTTCCTAAAACACGACACAGTTCATGGATTGTCACTGAATCATTAGGATAGGGCCAAACGATAAGTTATATATTAAAAAATAAGAAACAAGCATGTGGACACAATAATTTTCAATTTAATTAGGAAATTTTCAATTTTTTTGAGAATATTTTTTAGAATTGGCTTCCCTCCTATCTAATAAGTATACAAAGGAGGGAAGCCAACTTTATATTTTTTGGCCCTTTCTACATAGAATAAGGGGTAAGATAATAATTTTTAAAGAAATTTTGATAAATTTTTCCCTAATAGTTGCACTTCCACTAAATTTACAATTGAAAATATAAAAAAAATAATATTATTATTTAAACTAAATAGACTCGCATGTAATGCCTAATGGCTTCAGGCCTCTATCAACACTCCACTAGCATATAAAAAATAAACTAGTAATGATGTCACAACAATTTAAGTTACAGAAAATAAACCAACCTAATAGAACTTATATAAACACAACCCATTTCCTTGTAATAATTTTTAATTCATAGTAATTTGTAACAACTTCCAAGCATCCAAATATGACTTCTAAAATGATATTATATCTTATAAATCATCAACTACAAAACTTTCAAGAATCCAAACTTCATTTAGGATCTCTCAATAACTTTTTAAATAAATTCCTTTATAAAAACTCAATTTAGATTTATAAATAAATAATACCCAAGGTAGTTCATGCTTCTTGTGAGATTAATAGAGTTACTAGTACATAATCAAGCAAACCTTCCTCATAGGCATTTTATCAAATACCTTGCAAACATGAATTTTTAAATTTTAATACTATAGCCTCTTCTCTTCAAATTTCATGCTTGCAAGAATTTTACAATAATTCACACACATTCACATAGCTTGAATAATTTTACAATAATTTGCACATCTCAATAATTTCTCCCAATTAATTTTACAATGCTAATGCTTGAATAAATCCATTTTGCTTATACCTCTACCATCCACACATTCACACAGCACATACAAATGGAAAGGAATGGAAAGGAATGATTAGTTTCATGACAATTAATTCAAACCCACACACACAAATTTAGCAAAGAGAGGCAAATTTCACAACTTCGCCCATTAAATTTCACAACTTGAACAAATTTAGCATAGATTTGAAGGGCACAAAATGCTCGAAGCCCTCAAGCTTAAATCAGCAAAGACAATGGAAAAGGGAAAGAACTCATTGATAGAAGCAAAAAAAAGGATCTTACCCACAACAGCAATTACAGTGACGCATGAACAGAGGAGGAATGAGGATGAAGATTCCGACCACTCACAACACCAGCAACAAATGAATGGCTAAGCACGCAATGAACTTGAATGGATTTCAATGGATGAGCACACGATGAGCAAAGAGGTCACTGCGAGAAGGAGACAACGGTCATAGCAAAGAACGAAGCATAGTGAGACTAAGAGAGATAGAGATAAATAGAGGAAGACGTGGCGATTGGGAAGAGAAGAGGCAAATAGAGATGAGAGCGAGAAGAGGCAGACTATTAGATGAGATAAGGGTGATTGAGAAGAGGCGAATTGATGAGGAAAAAGGACAAAGATTTTTGAAATTTGAAACATTACCTACACCAATTATAAGAAATAACAGGTGTAGATATAGACTAAAATGATTAAAAAAAATATATAAAAGCATATCTACACAGGTTACCTTTGCAACCAATATAGATATGTCAAAAAACAATTTAAAAAATAAAATGAATATCTATACCGGGTAGATATAAACCCGATGTAGATATCGACATCTACACCGGTTACATATCAGAACCAGTGTAGATATTGACTCAAAAAAAATTATTTACAAAAATGCCACCGCCAATTGTAATTTCTACACCGTAAGCGCTATAACTGGTGTAGATAATGGGGTTTAAATATCCTATTTTTCACTAGGGACTCTATTTTAATGTAGAGAAAACATGGGAGGAGAGAAAGCTATGATAGAAAATAGGGGGAAAAACAACTTTTCCTCTGTTTCAATTAGGAGAGAAAAGTTTGGGGAAGGAAAAATAGGAAAAAATGGTGTGTAGAACCCACCACATTTTCTCTTAAAATTTTTTTTACCACGTGTAGAGAGATTTTGAAAAGATTTTTTTTTAAAAAAAAAAAGTTACTTAATTGCTTTGTCCCACCTTTACCATTATCTTTGTGCCTTCTCTCCACCAAGACAAGTGGCGAACCTACTAATTTCCAAGTTTTGTATCCATTAGACACACATTGGAGGAGTGACTGAGTGAGAGAGAAACTGAGACAAATTAAAGAGGAAGAAGGAAAGGGTAGTCAAAATCAATTGGGCAAGTGGTTGAGAGGCATATAAGGGGAGATTGAGGGAATTGATGGTTCAAAATAGCTTAGCTTATCGCGTAACATCTCACAGCTAAGTGGTGGTTTTGGTTTTTTTTTTTTTTGGGGGGGGGGGACTTTGATTCAGAGCATTAATTGTTCTCACCAATAAAGTCTGGAGGAAGTAATCCCAAGGGGAAAGAAATATTTTTTTGTTGTGGGGGGGGAGCTCTAAATAAAAAAATAATATATTTTACTAAAATATTTGTATTTAAAATATAACAACACGAAAATATATACATTTTTTGCTAGATAATTTGATTTCAAATTACTTTGATGATGTTAATTGTAATATAATATTTTCATTTAATTTATTTTCAGAAAGATAATTAATTATATAAAACAATAAAACATGATATATTCAAATACAAAAGTATTATAGTCATTATGATATTTATTTATTTGCTCTTGTTTTTTCTTATCCATTCAAGCATAAGTATTGATAATATTTACTTTTTAGGTTGCTTTTCTCTTTAGTTTTTCCCCCTCCCATTTTTCTTTTAATTTGTCTCTCCAAACGGAAGGCTAGTAAGGTGGGACTGGGGAGAAAATATTGGTCTTATATGAGAATTTCATATTTCTTTTCTTTATTGTTTTCCTAATAAATAATTATTATTTGTAATCGTATTCTTAAGAAACAAATCACATGAAACACTGACCTTGATTTGGAAGGCAAGCTTGTCCAAATTCCTTTCTGACTCTAGATAACAATTTTTTTCTATTGAAAATCATACATCATCATATATCATCTCAAGAAATATGATTATATTAATAATTTGATCCCGCGATATAATTTATTAAACCAATCCATTTCGATTGTGGTAATACAAAAAAAAAAAAAGGCTAGCAGGTGTATATTAGCAAACCAAAAAAAAAAAACTTTTTCAATGTTTGGAGAATTATGCTGAATCAAATTAATTTTTCTGGACTGAAATGAAAGTTGAATAGATTTCAGAAACTAAATTAGACACTCTTTTCTTCTTTTTTTTTTTTGCTAGAGAAACTAAAATTAAATTTTGCTAAGGACGAAAATTATTTGTGATAAATGACGGTGTCAATGAAGAGAAAATTATGTAATAAACGAGAAATACTTTATATTATAACTTAGTTAATTTTATCATAAACAGGTTATTTTGTGTTATATTCACATTAAAAATAATATGTGGCTAGTTTAAAAGCAATCGTGTGGGTATTGAAATTTATAAGGTAAACTAAATTCTTGAATCAAATAAATCTGGCTGTTGGATATTTTAACATATTTAATTAATAGAGACCAACATTCTAAGATGTTAAGCTTTTTCCTTCCATTTTGTATTGTCTTCCATGACTAAAATATGATAATTTGGCTCTTAAACTAAAAGTTTAGGAACATTTGAGACTCTAGCACTTTTTGTTATGTATTTTTACTCCTAAGCATTTCAAATCATGACAATATTCCCTACCTTTAACTTTAACAGTTAGTTGATTGGAAAATTACAAGAAATCATCAAAAGAATTACAACAAAAACTCCCAAAAATTAAAGAAAAGACATAAAAATAAAATTCGTAAATTTTGGGTATTTTTATGCAGTTTTTTTGTCCTTTTATGTAATTTTATAGTCAACTAATTTAATGGTAAGAGAATATTATCTCATTTCTAAATGTATAAGGGTGAAAATGTACAAACAAATGAGTTTAGAATGCTATTATACTTTTAAATTTATAATTTAAGGGTCAAATTGTCATTTTATCCTTCTTGAAAATTTGTATAATTCTTTTCATTATCATATGCATAAGAATTTTGCTGTCTACATTCTCATAATAAGACAAGATCATTCATTAAAAAGAAGGGAGAATGACAATTAAGGACCCTTTAAGGACATTAATTCCAATTAGGGATCCTGAAAAATAGAAATCCCAAGTGAAGACCATGGTCTTTAATTGGGATAAAAAATGAACTACAAAATTTCCCCCTCACTAAATATTGAAAGGTAACAGGAAAGAAACTCATCTGGTGTGCTCTGTTTCTTGTTTTTCAGTGGAAAAATACTAATGGGATGTGTTCTCGTGCGCTGAAAATGTTAGGGAAATATTAGTGAAGCATAATCATCTTCTAATAGGTAATTATATACATTGCTTCTTTTACATTTCATCCTCTACCATGCATGCAAGAGAAATCTACATGTTCTTCTTCCATTTCTCTTACATTGCTCTGTATTCTTTGTTTACACACGTCCTCTTTCATGCACGCATAAAAAGAATGTTTTAGTCTTTGCAAATGCTGTCCTGCACCATTTCTCTTTATTTTATACCTAGGAAAAAAAAGTATTCTTCTTAATACTTAATAGACTATATATATAGACATGCGCAAGAAATAATTTCTGAGAACGACACAGTTGAAAAGGTTGAGGAGTGAAAAATAAGGAAAATGTAACATGGATGCTGAATTTTTCTAATCTATGTTGAAAAGTGCGTGAATGTTGAAAAACGTAATGTGGATGCTAAATTTATGTAGTCAAGGTTGGGATTATGGAATGGACAGTTGTGAAATACTAAATTTATATGTTGCTTGTAGTTGTTCCAAGTTTATTTCCCATATGACAAGTACTTCAGCAAAAGAAGTATTTTGTTATCTTCATGTTGATGGACATTTTGTAAAAGATTTACAGGGGAAGATGAACTATGAAGGTGGGAAATTAATTTCCAAATTGATTAGAGAAGGCATAAATCATGAAAAGCTATTGAGGATGGTGTTATCAGTGGCAGGAGTTGAAAGTGGTGCAGTTGACTTGAAATTTATAGTGAAGTTTAGTAAAAACACATACATAAATCTGTTAAATGATGAGGGAGTACAACATTTGATAAAGTATAATGATAAGTCAGCACATATGTATGTTGAGACAAATGATAGTGAAATAAATGGAGCAATGGATAATTCGATGGAGTAAGTTGTTATTCTTAGTTATTTGTGTGTTTAATTAGTTTAATGACCATTTATATTGACCTGTGAGCAATTGTGAATGTAGAATGGAGAATTTGTTAACATGGTCACTACCAGGATCTCCTTGTAGGCAAGAGCTTGAAAGTATATCACCCTCTTTGCCATGTTCAACACAAAATGCTCTTGTACCACTGCTTAAGGTTAATTCGGTAAAATGGATGGATTTATTTATAAGTGTTGGCCAGACATTTGATGATGCAATTGTATTCAAAAATGCACTATATAAATACAGCCTTACTCATAGGTTTGGTTACATATTTGTGAGAAATAGCCCTAAGAAGATGATTGTCAAATGCAATATTGATGGTTGTAAATGGAAGATATCAGCTTATGCTCTTGGGAAGACAACCTCTATATTGTGTGTGAAAAAATTCCATAATGAACACATGTATTTTGTTCAAGACAACCTCCCATTAAAGCAAAAGGCTAACTCAAGATTGACATCATCAATCATCATTGATGCTATGAGGGGGAATGTGGAGAAAACTTCAAATGAGATTAGACAAGACCTTTACAAAGAGTATGGGTTAAATCTCACATATCGGCAAGCTTTGAGAGGAAAAGATAGAGCATTGGAGGAAATACATGGGCTTCCATAACAGTCATACATGTTGATCCTATGGCTTTGTGAGAAATTAAAGGAGACGGACCTAGACACAGTTGCAAAGCGGGGTTGCCTCGAAAAATTACAAATTTGATAGACTTTTTATTGCATATAGATGTTGCATCAAAGGGTTTCTCTAAGGTGCTCATCCAATTTTGTTTATCGATGGAAGTCATTTAAGTAGTCCATACAAGGGGACTTTACTAGCAGCTTCTACAATTGATGCAAATAATGACTTATTTCCTTTGGCTTATGCAATAGTGGGTGGAGAAACATATGATAATTGGACTTGGTTTCTTAAAAATGTGAGAGAGATCACACACCAAGTTCAATTGACTATAGTGTTAGACAGGTATAATGCTATTGTTAGTGCAGTGCGTGCAATATTTGATGGCAATCAACATGCTTTTTTTTATCGTTATACCAAAGAAAATTACAGCTCAGAATTTACAAAAATTAATAGAGGCATGCAAAGGATTGATGGGATGACCAAGAAAGATGCACTTAAGTTGTTGGATAATATTGCATATGCAAGGTTGCAAACAGAATTTCATGTTGTTATAGGTCATTCGATGGTTTTCTCCCCACAGTTGCCAAGATGGTTCGAAACAAATGGGGACATAGATCATTGGGCGTTAGTAAGATTTCCATACAAAAGATGGGACAATATAATAACAAACTATGCTAAATCTTTTAATGCTTGGTTAGTGAAAGAGAGAAAACATCATATATGCGCATTGATAAATAAGCACCGAGCAAAATTAGTGAGGAAGCTATACAATAACAAGATAGAAATGGCGAATTGGTCAAACAAAGTTGGACCATGTGTTGAAGCGAAATTGAGGGAGAATGTATTGAGAGCTAAAGTTATGATGGTTGAACATTATAGTGTGAATATGATACTAGTGAAGGTAAGAAACAATGACTTGAGAGTGAATCTAACATTGCGACAATGCTCTTGTCAATAATAGCAAATGGTAGGAATTCCTTGTGCACATGCATGTGCAGCAATAAAATTAGTTCAGGGTAATGTGTATTCACATGTTGAAGAATGCTACACTATTCGTGCACAAGAAAAAATTTACAGCTCCACAATGATTATGGTGGAAACCATTGACATACCTCAATTGACTGAGCTATATTATAAAGATTATGAAAAGAATACCTTTTTGGAAACACCACTGACTACATGTCCCCTAAGGCGACCATCTACCAAGCGAAGAGAGTAACAGTTTCAAAATAAAAAAGTGTATTATTGCTCAAGATGAAATCAAGCTGGACATACCAAGAATAGATGTAGGAATCTCAATTCAATGTAGGGATTGAAAGGGGGTGAAAACCATATGCATATTAGTTAGTTTGAAATTAAAATGCATATGGTTTTTATTTATTTTGTGCATTTTGCTATTGAATGACCTTTTGTACAAACAGCCACCTCATATGTTTTTTGTACTTATGGAGGTGATAGATTATGTAAATGGGCTTGCAGTCTATGTTGTTTTTTGGTAAGCAAACTACATAGGTACTATTTAGGTAGTTGGGATATTTTTTATGTAAAAAAGGATGCAAATATGGTGCACCTGAGTTAGAAAAGTAGCTAACATTGTAATGTGAAATGTCCTAACATGACTTGGAAACTCTTTTTTTAAGGGTAAGTCTTGCCATAGATTGGGTTTCAAAAACCTCAATTGGAATTCCCTAACCTACTTTGGAAACATAACTAATGTATGTTGTGAATGTGACTAAAGTAACTTGGGAATTCATTGTTAAAGGATAAGTATTGTCACAAGTTGGATTCTAATAGAGTTACTTGGAAATGGCCTAACCTAACTTGGGAAAAAGGTGAACGCATGTTTTGAAAGAGCCTAATGTGACTTGGAAATTGACTGCGTAAGGATAAGCCATTTGGCACGAGTTTTGTTCCAGCAACCTCACATGAGAATTTGGTAACATAAGTTAGAAAAGTAACTAACATATGTTATCAAAGTTCCTAATGTGACTTGGAAATTTATTATTTGATGAAAACTGACGTGGCACAAGTTGGGTTCCAACAAAGTCTCTTGCGAGTGTCCTAACCTAACTTGGGAAAAAGCTGAACGTATGTTTTGAAAGAGCCTAACATGAATTGGGAATTTATTGTATAAGGATAAGCCACTAGGCACAATTTATGTTCCACCAACCTCACTTGATAATTCCATAATATATGTTGTGAAAAAACCAAATGTCAGTTTGAAAGTAACATGAGTCAATAAAAATCAAAGACGGTTTGTCAAATTTCTTGAATATATAGTTAAAGTTTTTTTTTAATTAATTGCTATTTCATATACAAGAAGCCATAGAAAAAAAAACTTAATTACATAAAGGTTTAATTTACATATCACAAATGTCTATACTATGATTTCAATCTTTTGGATCTTACATGCCCAGCATTCAAAATGGATGTCATGACTTGAGAGCCCACTCTATTGTGTGGATGAGTCACCAACCAATGCAATATCTCACTCATCATTTCACTCAATTGTTCCTACACAATTAGATAAAGTCAACTCACAAAACACAAAATTGTCACACTTAGGAATTATATCTTAACTTTAACATTTATTCCTACCATTGTTAGAGGAGGCATAGTAAGGCTGCCCCATTCCTTTGGTGCAGTATTATTCCACTGTCTAAGGCAAAAGATGACATACATTTCACATCAGATCTATAAAAAATATGAAATCTGTCACCACGTACTTGGGAAATATATACTTAATTACATGTACATAATTTAGCTTTTTTACTCACGTCGTCGGTTGTTGTTCCATAGGCACCACTTTCAACTCTAGGTCATAATTGTTATCAACAAGTTTAGGTTTCAGTTTCATTAATATTTCTATAAACTTGCTTTTTTGAGAATAATAACAAAGTGAATGAGAAGCTTTCACCAATAAAATTTTATATATCACTATATGGGAAAAGACATACCATAAAGTATGTCATTTTTTCCTTCTCTTTTGGTAACAGAGCTCCTTTTGCTTTCTTTATATTCTTCTTTTTCTTCTTTGATTCTTTATCAGATGGTAACATCAAGTTCAGCACATATATTATGGCTGTTTTTGGCTTCACAACATAGCAAAACTATTGCAATGTAAACACTATAAGGAAAAAAAATAAAATCACAATCTCCTATGTTATACCCAATGTTAGTTGGCATAAAGTCCTTTAAATGGCTATCCAAGTCCTATTTTTTTTGTTAGTGGATTATGGTTCCCTGAAATGAAAAATGTAACACTTGTAACTTGTAAGCACCTAATAAAACAAAGGAATTAAACTGTAAGACAAACTGCAAAATCTGGATCATAAATGTGTCACTGCATAACTTGATCCTTTTTCTTTTGCTTATTGACCAAAATTCTTCCAATTAATGTAACAACCTACATAAAAAATTAGTTACATTAAAATTTTACTATAATTTGATCTATTTTAACTAGCACGCTTGCTCACCGAACTACTGATCCATTATTTATGACCTAGACACTTGCATTCATATCTTGTCAAATGATACTACTCAATCTCCACAATTTTTTATTACAGAAAACAAAATTATATCAACCAATCGATTATGAACATATCAACTAGTAAGGTTGAATATCATACTCAAATCCCTCATTGGGTGGAATAGACTTTGTATAGTATTGGTAAACTTTTTTCTCTGTACATTGTCCTCTTTCTTCACGTCCTCTTTTTGCCTTCCATCTATCATCGAAAAAGGGTGAATGAATAGTGTGACTATTTATCATTGTGACCTTTTTAGTGTCATTTCACCCTTAGAATCTGGTTTTCTAATTGACTTGTCTACTTCTTCTTATGCACTCGATTCTCCCTCCTTTTCATTTTTATCTCCTGCTTATCCTTCCTCTTCTTCTTTTTCATCTTCTCTGGATCCCCCTTCCTCTTCATTTTCATCTCCTTCTACTTGTCCTTCCTCTTCCTCCTTCTCATCTTCTCCGAATTCTCCCTCCTCTTCATGTTCATCTTATGTCTCTTCTCCTTCCTCTTCTTTGTTGTCATGTTCCAACTCTTCCTCCTCTTCCTCTTTACCATCATGCTTTTAAACAACTTCCTCTCCTCTTCTTTTAACTTAGAGCTTGAGGAGTCTTTGTCCAATTTAATGTGTAAAGGTCACAACATTTTTGTATACCTTTTTTATGTCCTACACCATATAAAATATCGTATGTTTAAAATTATATAAAAAAAACTTTGCTAATCAACAACCATCATTTTGCCCTTACCAGATCATAAAATGAAGTCATTTTTAAAAGCTCTACTGAGAAGCTGTCATGTCCTCAAGAAGGGTGATACAAAATGCCACGATCACTTGCCTTCTCAAGTTGAACTCGTGCTGTCACTCTCTCCTCTATCTAATGTTCCAGAGCATTTTCTTGCGATGACACCTCAGTTGGCTCTAATGGAAACATTTGAAAGTAGAAAATCTACATATTTACATCTATATCATGTAGCCCACAAAATTTTACAAAATAACTAACTTATAAAAAATTATATCTTAATAACCACATACTGCAAGAAGAAATAAGCATCCTCCAATAGTTTTTTCGTGCCCATCCTTCTTCTCCTATGCTTTATATTCAGCTACCTCCTTTCCAAGCTCAAATAATATAAAGGATGACCAATCAAAATGTACAGTTCCTAAATTTAATCCGGACATGAACTTCAATAGTTTATCACTTATTTTGGAACTCGAACTTGGACAAACAAAATTCTCTAAGCAATAGAGAATGAAGAGAAACTCAAATTTATTATTTTCTTTCCTCGAGAGTATCTTGTCCTTTATTATATTATTGGATACTTTTTTAAACTCCTTGTTTAACAACTTTAATTTATTCTTATCCCCATTCATATCAACCATCTCCCCATCATCAGGCAAGCAAGTAAGGCATGACTGCTTTGCCATTGATGACTTTCCTTTGACCTCTAATGAAAAGGGATAATGTA